ATTTATGTTTGATTGCATATTTTTTTCATGTTTTAAAGTTTAAATGTTAGTTTTGGAAATAAAGTAGAGAAAAAAGGTAACTGTGAAAGGAAAAAATAAAGAAAAAAAGTGTTTAATTTATTTTTTATACTCTGTTCATATTTATTTTAAAATATATATATAATTTTATGTGTATGTTTTGACATATATGCATAGTTGTAATGTATTTATATTATTTTTTGTTGTATACTGTAATTTATTTTTTAGAAATATTTTTGTGTTTAATTTTAATTTACCTAATATTTTGTATAATTAATTATAATGATTCGATTTTAATTTTGTCCTCAATGAAGCACTGCCCGGATACGAAAGCACGATACTGTGAAGGTGCGATTTAGTTTGTTTTTATTGTTTGTTACTTTTTTCTCTCTTTTTCATTCAAAAATATTAATATAACTTATCTATTCATTTAATTTTTAAATGATCAAAATATTATTTTAATTTTTAACTATACTTATAACCACTTAACTATTATCCATTTTCATTTTCACCACCGATCTTTTAATTTTGTCAATCATAGTACTTAACTGTTTAAGTATGTCAATCAAGCCACTTGCATATTAACATTAACAAAGGAAGTGATGTGACTGTTAAAAAATAGTATAATTACACCTTTTTCATCAATATTTACATATTGTATTAATTTAATACTAATTTCAATTTAATTAAATAAATTGAATCTCCAATTAGGTGGTGATATGTGTCACCACCTTATTGGGTACAAAACAAAATTTGAATGATGTATATAAAGTAGTTTCTCCATCAACTCAAGAGAAAAGCATTCCTCTTTAGCTTTTAAACAATCTATATAAAATTTTGTTTTATATATTTTTAAATGATGTATATAACTCACTATTGAACAATTATAATAATTTTACTTTACATAACTAAAAAATATATATCTCATTAAATTTCAACGTTAATAAATAAATTACAAGAATGGTCTATATAGGTTTATGTTGAAATATTTGTAGTGAGTGGGGGTCTTTAATCTTTATCAAGCAAGGCAATGCATTACTTCTTAGAGCTTCATCTCCACATGTACAAATCGAGTGTCTCTGTTTTGGTTTTTCTAGGGTAAGCAACTCAAACATAGCGTTGGCCTTGTCTTGTATGCGTCTCTAACTTCACACGAAAGAGCATTCCAGAAAAATAACAACAACAATAAGAATAATGAAATTCCAACATAAAAGTGACGTCAGGAACTTAATACGTCACTCAAGACGTCACATTAAATCATCCTGGAAATACCACAAATTGTTATAGAATGAAATAAACGTGTATATGCTTTAAGTAATGAAATAAATTACGTTAGTTTAAGTGGTTAGAAGTTTGATATGTTTAAATATGTCTGGAGCTTGAGTAATTGTATATACAAAAAATTCTAGTTGAGAGACTCACCTACCAAAACTAAATATGTGTCGCAAATCGATCCGAATTAATCATGACGATATGTTTAAATATGTCTGGAGCTTGAGTAATTGTATATACAAAAAATTCTAGTTGAGAGACTCACCTACCAAAACTAAATATGCATCGCAAATCGATCCGAATTAATCATGACGATATGTTTAAATATGTTTGGAGCTTGAGTAATTGTATATACAAAAAATTCTAGTTGAGAGACTCACCTACCAAAACTAAATATATGACGCAAATCGATCCGAATTAATCATGACGAAGTTTTAGAATTGAGAGGATAAAAAAATGAATTTAAAGTCTATAATCTTTTTTTCTCAATAGTTAGACTTTCATTTAATTTTTTTATTAAATTGATAAGTCGTGAACGAGATTACTTAAACAATTGGTTAACACTTTCGGATAATAATATTGATATTATCCAAAAACTAACAATGTCTGTAACTAAATTCGGTGTTTTAAATGATTTTTTTCTTGATGTATGTTTTATTATTCTTGAAATGTTTATTATTGTTCATATGTTTTTATGACAGGGCTATTTATTTATTTTTATGATAATTTATCGACAGTCGCTTATTAATTTCTGGACTGTTGAGGTTAAACCAAACATGAGCTGGAGTTTAAAGCAGATCCTCAAATTAAGGAATGAAGCATCCTGCATTTTGTCTTCTGATGTTTCGAATCTAAGCAAAATCTGGAATGAGATCAGGGTGAAAAATCCTAAAGTGCAATGGCACTCTTTGCTTTGGTTCCCTCTTATTATACCTAAGCATAGTCTTATAGCATGGATGACATTTCTTGACAGACTTTCTACGAAAGAAAGACTACATAAAATGGGGCTTGTTAATGACTGTCACTGCATATTTTGTGCTGTTGCTATGGAAACGAGAGATCACTTATTCTTCGAATGCCCGATTGCCTCATCCCTATGGTCTACTCTTTTTTCTCTCAATGGCTTACGGTTTTACTTCTTGGGATGCTCTCTTCGGTTGGGCTACTGTGCTTTGGAAGGGAAAATCACTTTTATCTACCATTATGAAAGTTTCTTCTAATGCCTTAATTTACACCATATGAAAGGAAAGAAACAAGGGGCTTTTCCAAAGTCATTCTTCTACTGTTGAAGACATGTTCAAAGCTATCAAGGAAGTTGGTGGGTTTCATCTAAGGGGAAGAACTATAAGTAGAATTGACAATGTTAATATTTTTCTTTGTAACCAATGGGGTATTGTTTGATGGGTTGATTGTCGTTTTGCTTTGGGTGATCTTTGTATTTCTTACTCTATTGTTTTGTAGCAAATTACTGCTCTTGGGTAATAAAAATTTGATTATCCAAAAAAAAATTATTGATATTTGAAACTATTTATGGAACAATATATCATATTGATTCTCTTAATCTCTACTTCTATATAAATATTGTGTCTAATTTTGAATAGAGATCATAAGATTATTATTAATTTCTAGATATTTTAAAAAATAAAACATGTACTCAATTGTAGGTTTTATTTTTTTTTTCACACTCTTTAAATTCTCATGTTGGACTTATTATTACCTTAATCTTTGTATATCTGAAATCTAATTTATTATTAAAAAAAGTCAAAAGCAAGATGCACAAAAATTTTCTTCATGAGAATCAAAGCTAAAAGTTATCATAACAAATCAAACAAAAACGTACTTTGAACTTAACAATGTGGTTATTTCAATCTTTTAGATCAAATACAAGAAAATACAAATTCAGATCTTCTTGACGAGAGGTAATTCAAACAAGAACAAAATATAAATAAAGTTTCTTCCTGCAGTAATTTTGAGATCAAAACGTGAAGATACAACTTGATTGAAACATGACATTCAACCAATAGATTTCAGATTTTGAGCAAGACGTATGTAAGAGTATTTAGACATTCATTATCAAATAGTTGAGAATTTTTTAAATATATATTATCTTGTAATCATTTCAGATTAATAAAAAAATATTAATAATTTACCTTGTAACTCCTATTAAGGGTTCGAGGAGGGGAGGTGACCCTAGGGTATGGATGGGTTGTTGAACCATCAAAGGCGTGCACTGCTCCATGTCGACCAGAAGGCAGATGGAGAGCTGGGGTGCCCCTCGGAGAGGCTCAAGTAGGGTACAGAACCGGTTTCCAATCAAAACATGGTTAAATTTACTAGTAAGCAATCAAACTTTGTTGGTCTTTTCATATTAGCATCAACTTCTTAAATTTGCACTTTTGATCTCAAACTTCTGTAACTTCATGATTTAGTCCCCAGTTTTCAATTTGCCTCCCAAAAATTAGTTTTACACTAAATAAGCTCCTGAATTATCACGATCGGAATACCAACCTTGATTTTAGATCATGAAAAAATAATAACAAATAATTATTTATGTTTGATTGCATATTGTTTTCATGTTTTAAAGTTTAAATGTTAGTTTTGGAAATAAAGTAGAGAAAAAAGGTAATTGTGAAAGGAAAAAAATAAAGAAAAAAGTGTTTAATTTATTTTTTATGCTTTGTTCATATTTATTTTAAAAATATATATAATTTTATGTGTATGTTTTGACATATATGCATAGTTGTAATGTATTTATATTATTTTTTGTTGTATACTGTAATTTTTCATCAATATTTACATATTGTATTAATTTAATACTAATTTCAATTTAATTAAATAAATTTAATCTCAAATTAGGTGGTGATATGTGTCACCACCTTGTTGGGTACAAAACAAAATTTTAGCGATGTATATAAAGTAGTTTCTCCATCAACTCAAGAGAAAAGCATTCCTCTTTAGCTTTTAAACAATCTATATAAAATTTTGTTTTATATATTTTTAAATGATGTAGATAACTCACCATTGAACAATTATAATAAATTTACTTTACATAACTAAAAATATATATATCTCATTAAATTTCAACGTTAATAAATAAATGACAAGAATGGTCTATATAGGTTTATGTTGAAATATTTTTAGTGAGTCAAATATTATATTCACATATAAGATGTCACAAAGAGATGAATTATAAAATTTGATGTCAAATTGCTATTGATGACGATAATTGCTGATGGTAATAGGTCGTAGACATACAAGACCTTGGTTGGGTTTTAATTTAAATTGATGTTTTATCTAAAATATATGAGTTAAATTAGAAATTAATCATTTTCCAATATATCATGTCATTAAAGCAGTGAGAATTAATGACTCAATGAGCAAAGTATAATAAATCGTTAATATAAGTGATTAAAAACATAAATCTAAAAACTTAAAACAAAAGGGACTAAAGCTATAATTTAGCCTATAAAAATGTCGGTTGGAATTGACAACATGTGACATTGAGGGAGGTGAATTTGCAAAAATAAAAATGTGAAATATTAGAGGGTGATGTCGGCATAGCAATCCAAACCGATACGCACATACTAACTGTTTTTGCACTTACAAGTCATGAGAAATCAAATCAAATAATGCAAAGAAGCTGCCGGACAAATGCTCCCAAGTTCCTCTATATAATCCTCTCACTCAAGCTCCTCTATATAATCCTCTCACTCAAGCTCTTTTCAGCTGTGCATCGAATTAATCTATCTTCCTCGACTTTTCGTTTCAGGGATGATGAGTTGGCCCGAGCAAGTGGTTCGAGTTCAGTCTCTGTCAGAAAGTGGCATACGTGCCATTCCAGACCAATATATTAGGCCTCTGTCTGAAAGGCCTCTCTTCAAACTAGGTTCTCAGTTTCACCGACATGTCGATGTTCCCCTCATTGATCTCCAACACCTGTTCGGCAAAGACCCAACCCTCCACCTCGACACCCTCAACCGCATCTCCAACGCCTGCCGCGACTGGGGCTTCTTCCAGGCGGTGAACCACGGTGTTAGCCACGAGCTGATGACTCGAGCGCGCCAGGTCTGGCGTGATTTCTTTAACCTGCCGCTCCAAGCGAAGCAAGAGTACGCCAACGCACCGACCACCTATGAAGGGTACGGTAGTCGGCTGGGAGTCGTGAAAGGAGCCGTTCTCGATTGGAGCGATTACTTTTTCCTACATTACTTGCCGGTTTCTTTGAGGAATCAGAGCAAGTGGCCCATGCAGCCGTCATCTTGCAGGTGTTTTATTTGTGTTAACATATTTCATATGCTCCATGTCTTATAATGAATGGAATTGGTTTAGCCGTTGAATCTTGATTCAGGGAAGTAGTGGCTGAATATGGTTGCCAAGTTGTAAAATTGTGCACAACGCTTCTGAAAGCAATGTCCATAGATCTCGGACTCAAGGAAGAGTATATAGAGAATGCGTTTGGTGGAGATAACATGGGGGCTTGTTTTAGAGCGAATTTCTATCCAAAGTGTCCTCAGCCGGAGCTTACTCTAGGTCTTTCCTCGCACTCCGACCCCGGTGGCATCACCATTCTCCTTCCCGATTACGATGTTGCTAGACTCCAAGTGCTCAACGATGGTGATTGGATCACCGTGAATCCTGTTCCTGGTTCTTTGATTGTCATCATTGGGGATCAGATCCAGGTTCCTCTAGTCGTTTTTTCCCCTTATATAACTACTGGTATTCGATTTATTACATATACCTATATCTAATACAGGTGATGAGCAATGCAATTTACAAGAGCGTGGAGCACCGTGTGACGGTGAACTCGGCAAAAGATGGGTTGTCCCTGGCCATGTTCTTTAATCCCAAGAGTGATTTAGTGATAGAAGCAGCGGAGGAGCTGGTGAGTGAGGAGCGGCCGGCGTTGTATGAAGCCATGACATTTGATCACTACAGGGTTCACATGAGGATGAAGGGTCCTTGTGGCAAAAAACGGATCGAGTCCTTGAAATTCAATACCCCTTAGTAACTGCCAGATTAAACAGTTGCATTTAAATAATTAATCATTCTCTAAGCTCCGAGTTGCTTTTGATCAGCTTATTTGAAATTTTAAATGTTATATATTTATGTGAAAAATAAATAAACCAGCAGATGGATGGATGATGTATGGACAGGGTTTGTTGCTCTTGTTAATTGATGTTGCCTGTGTTTTTTCTTCTTGTTTTTTTTTTCGAATCGTGAATTAGACAGTAGTTGAATTTAGGTGAAACATTTAAGTGCAAATGAGATTCATGTGCTTCTTGACGTTATTTATTCTGTTATTACAACTCTTGATTGTACTATAAACTAAGCAAAGCATCAACACTTGTATAAAAAACAGAAAAAGAAAGCAGGCAATATCCAAAACCATGTCCCAATTCAGAAATTTGAAAAACAAAAACTCTAAAATATTTCACTACTTCACAAATCATTCAACTAAAACATCAAATACATTTAAACATCGTCATAGTTCCATGATTTATGCTATAAACAACAGTGGAAAATCTCACCTCCACCTAGGTATAGCTAGAACACCTTTCAAGTAGACTAATCGGACCGAGCAGCAAACCTCTCAACCTTCTTTTCATTCAAATTAAGGCCAACCATGGCCTCACCAAGCCCACAGCTAACTTCCGCAAGCACCTCCGGGTCACTATAATGAGTAACGACCTGAACTATAGCCCGAGCACGTCTAACAGGGTCACCACTCTTAAAAACCCCAGACCCCACAAACACTCCATCACATCCCAACTGCATCATCGCCGCGTCCGCCGGCGGTGAATTACGCCACGGGCAACCTCCCCCGCTGCTTCGTCTGCACTACCAGATCCTATGGGGACTGTATTTTCTTAGCGAAGGTGAAAACCTCATCGTCATCCATGTTCCTAAGGACCGTGATATCTCCCATCACCGACCTGACGTGCCTGACGGCTTCGATAATGTTCCCAGTCCCGGCTTCTCCTTTGCGCAGATCACGGACAGTATCTTACTAAGGCACGCTTCATGATCCACGTTTTGTCCAAAAAAAAATGCTAATTTAATAATATTTGAAAAAAAAAGATATTTCATAGATAATATTTTATTGTTACGGTGATTTTTAAGTAAAAACGTCCAACCTTTTCATCATTCCATCAATTTTCTCTTATCCCTCAGTCGCACTCATAATTGTCCGACACCAACTTTCAATTGTTTGTAGAAAATCTAATTTTCAAAATTAACCCAATAACTCACAAGGAGTGCAGCTGAGTCTAGTGTTGTAAGGCCTAAATGACAAATTAAGAGATTGATGAGGGGTGTGTGATCGGTGTGGAGAGTCGATGACGACAAATGAACAAACTGTGGTGACGGTGATTAAGATATATGAGAGATGTTGGAATTTTATGTTAGAATAAATTGATAGGATTTTAAATATTAAAAGATTATTTATTGAATTATTTCGAATTATGATCAATTTGATAGAATTTATAAGTTTTGATGAGTAAAATTATTGTAATATCGTCTCGCATTATATTTTCTATCAAACCTATGGACATGTGATTAAAATAGAAATTAATTGCAAGTTAGATATAGTTTTTTAAAAAAAAGAATAATTTGATGATCAAAATAGAACTACGAGAATAACCAATGAGCAATAAGTAATTTATATGATTAAATATTATAAATTATGTGTTATTTAATAATTTTATTTTTTTATTAATTTAGGATGCTTGCAAGTGATAATATATGTTCTAAAGATTCTCAACTAATTGACAATGAACGCTTAAATACCCTGTAGTCTGTGATGCTCGAACCTAAGACCTAATAACAACTATTATTTTAACCACCGGGATAATTTGGCTGGTGATTAATAATTTAAAATATCATTTTTAATATTTATTATTTTTATAAATTTGAAAGTGAAAAAAATCTGTGGAAGAAATTTTATTTAATCTTATTAAGACTAAATTTATTTGATTTTGATAACCATTCCATTTCATAAATACATGGTCACGGTGGCCCAAAAACAAGGACAAAACAAACAAACAGGTGAATTGAATGAATAAATAGGCTTCGTTTTATATTTCCAAATACAGAACATATCTGATGATGATAATAATAATTAAAATGGAAAAGAAATAGGTAGATTAATAAGAGGCTAGTAGGGAGGCAGTGAAGGCGGCCGCTCATTCCCAATCTAATCCCAATATTATTATCTTCCCCACGTTCTAAAGTTCAGGAAAACGACTTGTCCTCTTCACCTTCATTTGCATATCAAATTTCTACGTTTAGGTGACAAAATTTTGGGTAAATTACAAATCTCATCGATGAACTTTAATTTCTCTTATTTTGCTTTTGAACTTTAAAATTTTTCAATTTTTTCATTGAACTTAATACATTAAAAAAAATTTGTCACTGAACTTTACCCTCTCTTTCATTTTGGTCACTCTATCGTCAAATAGTTAACGGCGTTAAAAAAAAACAACTCCGTTGGAGAAAAATAAAATTTTCACCAATGTATTAAGTTTAATGAAGAAATTAAAAAGATTTAAAGTGAAATGAGTGAGATAGGAGAGAGAATAAAGTTCAGTTACAAAATTTATAATTTACCTTAAATTTTTTAAATTTCTTAAAAAGAAATTTATAAAATTTTAGAAACGAAGATAAATTATTAATATAAAATATATGATAATTTAAATATTTTTGAGAAAACGTATACTCTTGGGCCTTGGCTGCCCTGGATCTATTACTACAATACTACTGCCTATACTTGTTCCTATTTCTTCAAACTTAGAGCTCCTCCTGCAACTACAAGTTCTCTCACTTCTTGGCTAATCTATGCGTTTCAAAAAGCACTCGATTACATATAAAATTATTTCTAATTAATTATTATAATTAATAAATTTGGTTGAACTAATATTATAGACACATATTATATTCCTTTATTTGATGAAGATGATAACCCATATTATAGACACATGGTCTTTTTTTAAATTTATTATTAGACTCAAATAATGTTTAGATTCACTGTTGGAATAAAGCTAATATGTTTCAATTTATTAAGAGAATATTGACTAGTAATGGATCGATGTGAAAAGCTTGGGCTAAGGCCTTAAGGATGAGGGCTTTTGATAAGGAGTTTGAGGAAACTCTTCTAGTTTAGGGGGAGTGTTAACCAATCTCTTTCTAGTGTTTGGGGAATTATGTATTGCTAGACCAGACATTGACTTCCAGAGAAATGTCCAAAGTAAAGTATAGAGCATATATTCACATAGATTCATATGCCTAGTAACGAAATGTTTGGTTCACATGCCCAAAAGAAAAAGAAGGTTTAGTTCACAAGCACACAACCGCTCGATGCCTAATTTGAGATGATGCCCATAACTACCTGCAAACAGAACGCAAAGCAAGGATTATACAAACTAATTAACGTATATTACAATGATGTACTTGTCAAACTAGGATCCACCAATCAGCTGCTTCATTCTCAACCCTCAAGCAGAAGCAATCGACTCCGGATTAGCTGCAGCAGCCACCTGTGGTGGAGGAGGAGGTCCACCGGGAGCATCTTTCTTGGCCTCTGGTGTCGGTGGCGGTTTGGTCTTCATGTGGGGAGGGGGATTATACTTGAGCTTCACAAGTATCTTTCGCATCCTTGAGAGATCAGTTGGCTTTCCCGGCTTAGGTCCCTGGATAACAACAATGGAAGGTTGCTTTAATTCTTTATCCTTCTTTCCCTTCTTCTCTATAGTTGGCAACTCGTGCGGGACGCTTCTCCCGGCAATTGCATTCCAGTAATTTTTCTCCGCCTCGCCATGGAACTTCTCCCGGTTTTGTACATATATCTGCAATTATATCATCCGAAATATGTAATTGATGGGCAAAACATAGAGTAAATTCAGTGGAACAAACACATGGGAGTATAAGAATTGCGATTTTGATCATCACCTTCTCCTTATCTCTGTTGGACGCTTTGTTATTTTCAATACCTATAGTTATCTTCCTATAGAATTCAGCTTTATACTCATCTGCTTCCTTTATTATTTGCTCCACCATCTCCTTCTCCTCCTTCTCCTTCTCCAGCAGTCGGATCAGATTCTCTCTGTGAATCAATAAATCCAATCTCGGTAACGTCCTTTTGAAAATATAATAAAATGATAAAAAGTCTTCCATATTTATTATAGAAAGTTTGAGTTGACCAAATGAATAGAAACGAAGTTCAATTCAGTAGCTTATGTAAACTTACCTGCGCCACTCTCTCAAAGCAGAGCCTTCTTCTGGCACCATCTCAACAGGCGGAGGCAAGGTCGGCCCGTCCGATCCTCCAAAATGATATCCGTTGACTACCTCTCCGTTTTGCTCCGATGAGAAAGTAGAGTGTTCACCGCCGCTACCGTAGATCGGAGGTGGAGAAGGTGTTTCGGGTATTGATTGAGATGAGAAGACGTCATCTCCACCAGCACTCTGGGATTGATTGTTGAACATCGGAGCGGGATCGGCCACTGAGTCCTTGACCGAGTCGGTGTCGAAGGACTGGGATTGGTGGGAAGCGAGGCGAGGGTCGTAGCCTAAGTAGCCATCATCATCAAAAGACGACATCGATTTTTAGAAGGCTCTATTTGTCTCGACCAGATCCAGCCCGATAGCTGATGTTTCTGCGAATCTCTATCGCTCTGTATATGTTTCTTGTTCTTCTTCGCGGTCTCTCAAAAATGGCATTCAAGTTGATGACGAACTGACAGATGGCAATCCACAAATGGCTGTAATCTACGTTTTCAATAAGTGAACCGATGTCATGCAAGAAGAAATTCTTTGATGAAACCGACTCTATGTTTTTATGATCCAATTAATAATATATTGATTGTAAAATAATATTTGTTTAAGAAAATTAATTATTAATAATATATACACTTTGCATAAACAATTACTCGAACTATTCAACTCATATGCCAATATGCACGTATAAAACGATAGGATACAAATAAGATCTGTATTTGTAAACGTTACCTCTCTTAATCAATAAACGTTTGATTAGAAAGTTTATCAATGGAACTCAAGATCTACCTGCTTGAACCTTGAGTGCATGGATACATACATTGATTTTTGTTTGTGTGTGCAGGAAGGATACATGGTACCAAGAACCATAGGCAGAGGTGGAATCTCAGCTATTGAAGTTGCGAAGTGTGTGCTGTCTGAGACACTGAGATTCATTAGGAAGGACAAGGGCTGCTGCAACAGATGGTAGTGTTTAACGGGAGAATTGTGTTCATTTAAAAATGATCCCAACATCGAACATCAAAAAGAAGTTGACCCATCTAATCAAACTTCAATTAAAACTTCTAGGGGGGAAATACTTAATCATGCAAAAAAGAAGGAACACGTGTATCAAACAAATGGACGCGAACAAACCGCGAGACTGGTAAAAGGCCAAACGCGTGTTCAAAGGCAAACTAGAGGCTTTAAACAAAGACTGTTTTTACTTTCTATATATAGAAACTGTAACATTCCCCTTTTTGTTTCATACAGCACATTTCACATTCCCTCGACCAAAACATTCTCAACTATCTTCAAACTCAATTCCCAAAGAGAATTAGCCTACATCTCTAATTTTACTATGCCTTCCTTCAAATCCCCTTTCTTCCTCTTCCTTTCTTCTATCTTCCTCCATGCTTCTCTGGGTACGTGATTGTACACGGAAACATCTCTTTCACATCTATGTATATGTTCATGTATTGAGCCTTTTTTTTATACAGTTATACTATATCGTATTCATGTTGTGAATTCCTGCAGCTGAGATTGTCTGCGAAGATTTGCCCCATGATGTCTGTGCGTTTTCGATATCGTCTTCGGGGAAGAGATGTTTGTTGGAAACAGCGGTGGACGAAGATGATAAGGTAGAGTACCAATGCCGGACGTCGGAAGTGGTGGTGGAGCGAATGGCGGAGCATATCGAGAGCGACCAATGTGTGCGTGCTTGTGGTGTTGATAGAAACGCCGTTGGAATTTCATCCGATTCCCTTCTCGAGCCACAATTCACCAACAAGCTTTGTGCCCCTGCCTGCTCCCACAACTGCCCCAACATTGTCGATCTCTTTTTCAATTTGGCCTCCGGTGAAGGTACTGAATTAGGTCCTTCTGCTATGCTTTAATATGATATTTAGTCCCTACAGTGTTTTATTCAATCAATGGAATAAAAATGAATGGTATATCCCGATTGTTGGTTGCAGGAGTGTTTTTGCCAGATCTTTGTGAGGCTGTTCGCATCAACCCGCAGCGGTCCATGGCGGAGTTCATGTCGAGCTCTGGGGCTGCCGTTGGTCCCGGTCCCATCGGAGCAGAGTTATTGGAGGGTGATGCTTTAGCTCCAGCTCCAGATTCCATGGAATGATCAAATTCATTTGTGGTTTTTTGTTATCATTGAATAATCAGTTCCATCAGAATGGCATTGATTCGAGATGTGAATTGATTTGAGGAATAACTGCTGAGAAAAGAGAGAAATCGGGGTTTGTTTATAGGAGTGGAGTTTGCTCACAGGGTTACTGCGTATTGTTTCCCAGAGAGATTTTTTCGACCACAATGACATTTTCATGTCTTCCATTCCATTCATCGTAAATAAAACAGCTATTCTCTCTCAATAAACTGGAGTTTCATCCAATTCTCCCATCATTCATTTTATTGCATTCTTTTATACAAGTATGTAATCGATTCTAATTTAATTAGTCTAAATATATAAAGTTATGAATAATTTAAATACACAGATTTAAGATTGTTGTAGGATAGAAGTGAAAGGTTAAGATTAACTCTTTACTCTTTTTTTCGATGAATCTCTTCTCATTTTCTGATATGAATCTCAATCTTTTTAATTTCACTCTAACGATCCTAAATTTATGTAAAACTTTTTAATTTTTCACTGTGTCATGGATCCTAACTATTTGTGTAGATATATGTGTTCACATACTTCAATCTCGTGACTCTAAGACGTGATGTTTTTCTCTACTTAATCTTATGGTGTCTTTGTTATGTGTCATTAGGGATGGCAATGGGTCGGGTCGGGTTTTTGGGCCACCCGACCCGACCCGAGAAGAAAGGGTCCTCCACCTGTGACCCGACCTGATCCGAAAAAAATTAAGGTTTCACCCGACCTGGCCCGAATATATGATTTAGAAATCCGACCCGACCCGAAATAATAATAAAAAATATTTTTATTCAATAAAAATAGTGATTTAATTGAAAAAATTATATATAGAGGGGTATTATTGTAATTATCCTTAAATATATAGGGTAAAATTATATATATTTTTTGGGTCGGGTCGGGTCGTATTTTTCCACCCTAAACCCGACCCCGAATTGTTTTTAAAAAAATCCTACCCGATCGAGTCGGGTCGGAACCCTTCGGGTTCGGGTTGAGTTGCCATCCCTATGTGTCATAGTCATGGTTGTTCACATTCGATATCTCACACATTAGAATACTTAGTGTGAAATTATCTAATTAAATCGTTCAAATATCACTTATCACGAGATGATTATTTTCTTTCAAAAGATACATATGATATGATATATAACGTTATATTTTTAAATTATATCATCTTTCTTTCTTTTTTAATATGTGATTAATGTCGAAAATTGTTTCTAAGGCATAATGTTAACACTAACTATAATAAAATTACTAGCAAAATATTATATAATTAAGTCGTGAAACACTCAAATTACTCACTCGTTAACTAATAAATAATAATGAGAATAAAATAGAATCGTATTCCAAATTGATTGAGACTTAAAAAAACACGAACTAGTATCATGCTATTTGTGACATTTCTCCAAGGATAAACGACACAATTTTACTCCTATAGTTTTTTATTACAACAGGTTTTTGACGTTTGGCAACAGCCAACAGGTTAATGAATAGTAATGTATATATTATTACATCCACAATATCTTATCTTGTCTTGAAACGATGAAAGTGAAATTAAAAACTAAACCAAAATAATTTTTAATTAAAAAATCCATATTAAATGAAATGAAAAAAAAATGTATTGTCATAAAAAAACATTTCCAACAACGATTTTCGTTGTCAATTAATTATCTCCAGCATTGTGGTAGATCCGCCGGCGGAGGAGGCAAGATTGTTTCCGGCGTCGGTCCATTCTCAACTAGGAACGCAGTAGCAAGGCCCACCGGCAAGTGCGCGTCTAAGTGACAATGCAGTATCCATACACCTGCACAGTTTGAGATCATGTATTAGAAACCAGAATTTAAAGAAACCTCTTGGTCTAATTCTAGTTTAGTCCTTCCACTATATTAATGTTTGAGATATAATCCTTTTAAGATGACATGTAAATATTAACTAATTATTTCAGGAAAAAAAAAGGATTCGTTGAACTTTCATTTTCATCACCACTGTTACCCTACAATTAACAATTAGAGTTGACTAATCTAAGTTTAGAAATTAAGAGAAACTAACCTGGATTATTAGCAACGAATCTGATGACGGCCCATCCTCCTACTGGCACAGCAACTGTGTTGCGTATCTGTGGGTTAATCAAATTGAATTTCTTTCTATCGGTAATAGGGCTGTAGTTCCCGAATCCTTGAGCCAATATATGGAAATCAAAGCCATGGAGGTGCATGGGATGATTCTCTGGTCCGAGGATATTCGTGTTTTGAAATATTATCTCCACGGTCGAGTTGAATTTAAGCTCGGTGACCTTTGTACTTTTTGGAGCGAACAGCATCGGAAGGTTGTTGTTAACGGTATCGTTGGTGTAGTCGAATTTGATGGGGGGCTTGACGGGGAAATCAGTGGTGTAAACGCCTTTGACGTTTTGGTAAAAGGCTTGCAACAGGGAGATGCCAGTAGGTTCAACGAAGGATTCATTGTTCATGCTGGCCGACAGTTTTGGACCATTGCAACTTGTGTTTGCCGGGCAGGGAGCGAGCGCCAACCCGATGGTGACGAACATTTCGTGGTCTACCTTACGAGGGACCGGAACCCAGAAAGGCGCACCGACTAACGCTTTAAGGCCGGAGTAAAACTTGTTGGCAGTGGGGGTATCGTTGAATGCGGGGAGGGCTGGCATTAGCGGTGTGGCTTGTGACGGACAGCCATCGTAGATGAGGACACCCCTTGTGGTGGTATTAGCAAATGGTACAAGTGCACCGCCTACAACTGCAGTTGCATATGGTCTAGCAGCCATGTAATATGACCCAACCGACTGATCCGTGGTTAACAGAACATCGACCGTCTGACCGGGGGCGGCTACCACGACATCGGTAATGTAAGGCTCGGTATAGCTGGAGTCAACGGCAACGACCGTCAACTTATGATTGGCTATCTTGTAGAAGAGCTGGCTATTGAGTGCAGCATTTATAATTCGTAATAGATAGGTTTTCCCTTGCAACACCGTAAGCTCGTACATTTCTGATCCAAAAAACATGATTGAATCATACTAAAATAAGAATACTTTTACTTAAAGCAACTATATATAAATATAATCATCGTTGACTTACGTTGTTTAGAGCATGGGTAGAGGTCACCAGGCCATCCATTAATGGTAAAAGCATCAGAAAGGTTAGGGGAAGCGCCCGTAGCAGCTGCCAGTCTCTGCACATCAACGACATTAGCGTTCCACAACTCACCTAAAAGGACCGGAACTTCCCTGTAGGGCTTAGGGAATGGATAGGAGTGGCCGTCTCGGGGGCGGATGATGAGTGCACCGTAGACGGTGGCCCGGAGAAACGAGACGTGAGCATGCCACCAAAGGGTTCCCACTTGTTTTGTGACTGTGAATTTATACGTGTATTTGCTTCCGGGTTGAATCGGACATTGAGTGATCATGCTAGGTCCATCTGCCCAGTTGCTCAGAATCTGAAACACTCCATGCCTGCTCAAACAACAATCAGTAATTAATTACTCCATATAATTATTTTATGTGTATTAGCAGTGGTATTGAAAACCTATGAAAGTGACTGAATATTATACAAATAACTAAAAAATAATGGACAATAAAATTAGTTGTAGTAACATCAGTAGCAGCTGGACTTGTGCAATCATTTTTATACTAACAATCAAACTAAAATGGATGGACCACGTCGAATAAAATACAACCAAAATCAAACTAAGCTTTTTTAAAAAAAAAAAACTCATGAGAAACTAATTTACCAGTGAATGGTCATGTTGTAAGGCGAGAGATTAATGACATGAACAATTAGTGTGTCCCCCTCTTGAACGCGAATCGTTGGGCCAGGATAGCTACCATTTACTGCAGTAATCACGTGCCTTTTGCATAGCCTACTAATGGTCAAATTTTTCACCTGCCAATAAAATTAAAATAATAACTAATGTAAAAATCATATGAACGTACGTGCCATTAACACACTCCTTTTTGCTTCAAAAAACATGGGTTAAATTACGTAAAGAGATTACATAGAATGTGTGCTCCACTATTCCCGTAGCTGAAGCTGCGGAAGCAGCAAAAAGAAGAAAACTGCAGGCAAACAAGAAAACATGGCGCCCCATCTTCATGGGAGAGCGAAAAAAGAAGAGAGTCGGAGAATGAGATGGTAAGAAAAATGAGAGCTTCTATCTCTCTATATATACATGTCAACTACATCCAAAATAATAAATAAAAAAAGGATGGAGCTTTGGCAAACCGATTGCGTAACAGAACTAGCTAAATATTTTATGCTTTTAGAAATTTGACTATAAAAAGAATAAGCATGCATAAATCCATATATATAAAAAGAATTCATATATATGTGATTTGCACAAGATCCAAAAACCTTTAACTTCACCATCATGCCAATGCAATTATCCATATATTTAATTGGAATGAAACAAAAGAAATTTGTAGCAGAGTGAAATTATAAAGTGTTGAAAGTTCAAAATGCAAACTTCTAGAGAGATTAAATTGAATTTTTATCAAAAACCCTGGTGCCGCCCTGACATTAAATCAAACTACTTAGCCAACCTACCACGGTATGACTATATAAATATTGTTGGTTCTTTTAAGTTGAAATTAAATGACAAATGGAGATATCTTTGAGAAGTACAGTTACCCAATCCGCGTGAACTCCAATCAAAATACAGTCAACAATAATTAATTAGTATACAGCCATTAGCAGGAACAACATTCTTCCCTTCATCAAAATGCAAAAGTAATCAAATCAACTTTGAACTTAATTACTCGTTTTACAGCTGCAGGACATGGACGTCAATTAATTTTAAAAAAAGACTACTTAAAATGGCTAAACCATTTATTTGCAGGAGATGCTGTGCTCTTGGCATATACGATGGGCTAAGTTTGATTAAGTCCTGAACGGAAAACGAAAAGCTCAGTGGATTTTTGTGCAAGTTTCAAGGAAAATGTAACTTATTGCCGCTGGGACCTAAACATTCCTCCAAAGCCTGGATATTCCATTCTGATTCTGATATGGTACTAGGGCTACAGTTTCAGCATTGATTAATGTTAAAGTAGCTGAATTATTGAACCCATTAAATAATCTTAATGATAAAAATTATTGTTATTCTTCTTAGATAATACAATGTGTTATTAATGGTACATTTTTTAAAATATATTTTTTCTCTTGTAATTATCATGTACTAATAAAAATTATATGAATTATCAAAACAATATGGTAGAGTTTGGGGATGTTGAGATGTATTTTTCACAAAAAATATATTTAATGTATCGTGATGGGAATGTCTTAACCAAAACTGATGAGCTTTGGATTAAAATCCTGCACGCAAAGTACAAAGTTAAAGAGACCTACCAAACTCTATTCAAAGACAATACAGCTCACACCTTTGGAAGGGATTAAGCAAAATCCGGTCCACATTCAAAACAAATATCATTTGGAACCTCATGAACGGGAAAGAGATAGAATTTTGAAATGATGCTCGGATAATTGACCTAGGGCCTCTCTAGTACCATTGCATGTAACCGAACAATAATTTTGAAATACCCATGCATTGATCGAGGTGTGAAGACAGATTAAAACCAGTCTTCAAGTGGGAGATTGTTGAAAGTAAACAAAACATGGGCGGCTGATTTGTTTAAATCAAGTGGGGCGACTTGAATTCAAAGTTAGGCAGCCCATTTTTTTTGAATTTAAGCAATGATTAATTACATTTTAGTCATTGCACTTTATGATATTTTCAAATATTAGTCCCTAAACTTCAACTATAAATACCCTAGCTCATTTAACTTCAAAATCATCCCAAATCATTTCTTTATCCCAATACTAGAGAGCTTTCTTGTGATTAGTGAGTGTTTTGTTAACATCTGTAAATTTTCTCACTAGTAAAAGATCTGCAGCAGTCCAGAGACGTAGGCATAATTGGTTGAACTCCGTTATCAATTTTGGGTATTATTTTTTCGCTTTTATTTCGCATTCTCACTAATTTGATTATAGGGAAATTACTCGTTTTATTTCCCTATAACCAAATTAGTGAGAATGCGAAATAAAAGCGAAAAAATAATACCCGAAATTGATAATGGAGTTCAGCCAATTATGCTTACAACTCCGGACTGCTGCAGATCTTTTACTAGTGAGAAAATTTGCAGGTGTTAACAAAACACTCACTACTCACAAGAAAGCTCTCTAGTATTGGGAGAAAGAAATGATTTGGGATGATTTTGAAGTTAAATGAGCTAGGGTATTTATAGTTGAAGTTTAGAGACTAATCTTTGAAAATACCATAAAGTGCAATGACTAAAATGTAATTAACCATTGCTTAAATTCAAAAAAATGGGTTGCCTAACTTTGAATTCAAGTCGCTCTACTTGATTTAAACAAATCAGCCGCCCATGTTTTGTTTACTTTCAACAATCTCCCACTTGAAGACTGATTTTAATCTATCTTCACACCTCGATCAATGCAGTAGCATTTCTAATCTTGTTATTCTAGCATGTCCACTGAAGCTGAACACAACTTCAGTTTGTCCGTAGTCACTGTCTTTGTCAACATGTCTGCCGGATTTTGAGATCCACTAATCTTTTCAAGTCTCAAAATCACATCTTCCAGAAGAGACTGAATAAAATGATATCTCAATTGTATATGCTTCGTCCTGGAATGAAAAGACGGATTCTTCGCTAGATGGATAACACTTTGACTATCGTAATACAACACATTGTTTTCTTGTTTCCTGTCTAACTCTTCCAAGAAACTTTGGAGTCAAACCATCTCCTTGCTGGCTTCCGTAACAGCGACATATTCTGCTTCAATTGTGGAGAGAGCAATTATCTTCTGTAGTTGAGAAACCCAACTCACTGCGGTTCCTCCTAGAGTATAGATATACCATGTAGTGCTTCTTCTGATGTCAACATTTCCGACTAAGTCAGCATCTATATAGCCTGTCAGTATCGTATTTCCACCTTTGAAATAAAGTGTTTTGTTTGTGGTACCCCAGATATCTGAGTATCTATTTGACTGCTTCCCAGTGTAACTTGCCTGGATTATTCATGTACCTGCTAACAGCTCCCACTGCATGAGCAATATCTGGTCTAGTACAAACCATGGCATACATCAGACTTCCAATTGTTGAGGCATACGACACATTCACCATATGTGCATATTCTTCCTCTGTCTTTGGTGACTGTTCTTTGGAGAGTCTAAAATGAACACCTAAAGGTGTACTTACTGGTTTAGCATCTTGCATGTTGAACCTGGAGAGCACTTTGTTGATTTACTCAGCCTGTGATAACATCAAAGTCCTCGACTTTGTGTCTCTCTTGATCCTCATCCCAAGAATGAACTTTGATCCAAGCTCTTCTTGGCATACATCAGCTCCCTCTTGATGTAGCAACAATGAACTTCTTGGCATTTGGTAAAACCACTACTACTCATGAAGCTATCGAACTTCTTATACCATTGTCTAGGAGCTTGTTTTAAACCATACAAGCTCTTCTTCAACCTGCATACCAGATGTTTCTTTCCTGCCTCTATGAAGCCTTCTGGCTACCTCATATAGATTTCTTCCTCCAAATTACCATGAAGGAAAGTTGTCTTTATATCTAACTGCTCAAGATGTAAATTCTCTACAGCTACAATTTTCAACACCAGTCTAATTGTATACAGTTTTACGACTGGAGATAAAATTTCATTGTAGTCAATACCTTATTTTTGCTGAAAACCTTTGACAACCAATCTTGCTTTGTAGCGTTTGCTCCCATCGTGCTCTTCTTTGATCCTGTAAATCCACTTGTTATGGAGTACTTTCTTGCCTAGTGGTAATTCAGCTAATTCACATGTCTGATTTGACATAAGCGAGTCCATCTCATCTTTCATGGAAGACTCCCACTTAACTGAATCCTCCACCTGTATTGTTTCATCATAACAATCTGGTTCACCATTGTCAGTCAGCAACAAGTAGTGCAAATAAGGCGAGTAACGCTGGGTTGGTTTAGGAATTCTATAGGAGCGTCTTAGTTCCGGTGTGACTGGTTCTTCTTGAATTGCTTCAGGTCTGATCTGAACATCATTTCCAAAAATCTCCTCGAACTCAGCAAATTCCTTTGTTTCAACTTCAGTATTGGAGCTACTTGATTCTATGGTTGATTTGTCTTTGTACATCACATTATCATTGAAAATGACATCTCTGCTTCTGATGATCTTTCGATTTTCGTAGTCCCAAAACCGGTAACCAAACTCATCACCACCATAACCAACAAAGACACATTTATTGGACTTGGCATCAAGTTTATTTCTTTCAGCAGAATCTATGTGTACATAAGAAATACAACCAAACACTCTTAAGTGTGAAAGGTTTATTTCTTTCTTGCTCCAAAATTCTTCTGGTATTCCACCATCCAAGGGAACTGAGGGCCTACGGTTGATAAGGTAAGCTGCAGTGTTAATAGCTTCAGCCCATAGAAATTTGGGCAATCCGTCATGTATCCTCATGCTTCTGGCATGTTCATTAAGAGTTCTGTTCATGCGCTCTGCTACACCATTCTGCTGCGGTGTCATGGGAACTATTGTCTCCATCTTGATCCCATTGTTTTCGTAGAAATCTCTGAATCTACTGTTTCTGTACTCTCCTCATTGTCAAACCTCAACCGCTTGACTTTCAAACCAGTCTCATTTTCCACCATGGCCTTCTATTTTCTTAAGGTATCAAAGACTTCTGATTTCTTTTTCAGAAAATAAACTCACACATTCCTTGTTGAATCATCAATAAAGGTGACATAATATAGTGAGCCTGTAAGAGATGGAACTGGAGATGATCCCCAAACATCAGTATTAACCAACTCTAATTTTTCAGCCTTGGGTGTCTTGCCAATCTTTGCAAAACTGACTTTCTTTTGTTTGCCAAAGATGCAATCTTCACATAGTCCGGCATCTACATTCTTTAGATCTGACAGCTTCCCTTTTGACAAAATCATCTTTATCTTTTTCTCGCTCATATAGCCAAGCCTTTGGTGCTACAGGTTTGATTTTCCATCAGCATTTGCGGCTGCAATGATATTCTCTAAATTTAATGTTACATAGAGAGTACCAGTCTTCTTACCACGAGAAATGACGAGAGCTCCTTTGGTAATCTTCCATT